ACGACGCTCAACCGAAAAGGTGGAATCGCAAACGAGAGAAATTCGAACAAAGATCAAACATAGAAACTAATACAAGAGAGCCCCATGAATGCACGGACCTGCACCGACGAGGAGGGTTAGCTTCCCGAGCGGAAGAGTCATGGTCAGCAACGGGGACTACGAGCCCGAGCTTGAATCCCAAGGGACTAATACGAAGAAAACCGCAGCATGACAAGATCGGAGAACACAACCGCGAAACAGAAACGTCTGTTCTTGGGCACGACAACGGAATATTGAGAGCGAGAGAGCGAGAGCTGTTCCCTCCTCACAATGTTTCATTAGCGACTTAACCGAAATTATTATATTTTTCCTTTTTATATATAATTGTCCTTTTCGGCTGAGAGAAAATGTTTATTATTAGAATTTAGGGCCTTTTTTTTTATTAATATGGTTTCCTTAGAGAATATGCTCTTTTGCCTCGAGCCTTCTTTAACTTCCAAGGGAAAAAGGCACGTTTAATTATATTTTAGATAATTATTCTGTAAAATATTTATTTTGTTTATATATTAACTTTATCCAAAATTTTAAGATAAATATTAAATTTTAAAAATTTTAAAAACATATGAAACCATCTTTGACCCCTTATTGAAAATAAAATTTCTAAATTTTTTTATATATATAATTGATCTATTTATGATAAACTTTTTAATGAAAAACGCACTTAGTATCGAAAATATGACTCGAATACCATGTTATTATCCAATATTATCACGTATAAAAATTTAAAAATTAAAAAAATACAAAATACATATAAATATAAATATACACAATCACATATATATACATATAACCACATATACATATATACATATATATATATAAACATATATTGTGACACCCGTAACACGTCTCCCGCTCACGAGTTGTGTCACATGGACGCTCAAACATATAATAAAATAGCGGGAATTTAAAAACATTTTATTTTATTACACACGCAGCGCAAAAACAAGTATATGTTTACAAACCTACGTACAGTAGTATACACACCAACATAAGGACGGTAACTATAATATAATACAGGGTCAAGTCACAGCCCGTACAAACCAACATAAGTCCAAAGAAAGAAAAGTACATGATCCAGATATCTCCTCACGCGTCACTAGCACCCTCGTCCTGCTGCTGCCAATACTGCTCCGTGCCTGAAACGTTGTATAACAACGTCCATAAGCTACGTGCTTAGTGAGTACTTCGGGTTAGACCCGAAGATCATACTCAAATTGCAAATGGCCAAAGTTGTATAACAACGTCCATAAGCTACGTGCTTAGTGAGTACTTCGGGTTAGACCCGAAGATCATACTCAAATTACAAATGATCAAACACAAGCAATATTATACACACACTAGATATAAGTGTATACATATATACACACTTCATGCCATGAAACACAGTTCACTCAATCGCACAAGTAATTCACTTATCACACACACTCAGTCCGCATAATGTATCATCGGACATAACTGTCAAATCATCTCTATGTGCATCGCACACATAGGACACCACACCGGATCTGGTCTCACCAGTCCAGGACATATGTACACAAGTCATAGCTCGACCCATCGGGTCTCTCAGTAATAACCGTACCGTCAAATCGTCTCCACGTGTGCATCACTCACGTAGGTAAGGACGCTCCATGTGCAATGCACATCCCCCGCTCTCCTCGGCAATCGCCGGAACAATGCTCAGTACCCGGTGGCACATCTATGCTGAAGTCGACTTCCCGACTAGGTGGCAATCCCGGAAGATCCTCAGGAAATACATCTGGAAACTCCCGGGCAACGGGTGTATCCTCCAGTCTCTTCTCCGATTCCTGAGTAGTCAGAAACAACTGAACGAGTTGGTGGAGCAAGGTTTCATTCGCCCTAGCGTCTCCCCGTGGGGAGCACCGGTACTCTTCGTGAAGAAGAAGGATGGGAGTATGCGATTGTGCATCGATTACCGAGGGCTCAACCAAGTGACTATCAAGAATCGGTACCCGCTACCGAGGATTGATGAGTTGCTCCACAATGAGATCTGAGGCTAATAGGCGACCGCAAACCTCAAGGGGTATGCCTCTCAGGATCCCGTGCACTGCTAATGTCTCTCCGGTTGGTATGCGCACAGTAAAATCACTCCTCGGTTCGATCTCTCCAGTCTCAAGTCTCTCTGCCATGCCCGCACTCAGGAAACTATGGGTCGCCCCGGTGTCAAACAACGTATAACAGGAAACTCCACAGAGATATAGAGTACCTGAGATCGCGACAGCCTCGGCTCCATCAGGGTGAGCCTCCTCCTCGTCCTCCTCCTGGATCTCCTGCTCGGCGTCAAGAGCATAGACTCTCGGGGCTGCTCCAGTCCGCGCTGGGGGTCGGGGTGGTCGGTTCGCCTGGCCTGGGGGTCGTGGTGGTCTCGGTGCCAGGGTCGGTGGTCCCGTCGTCCTCGTCGGACAACGCGATGCAATATGTCCAGGCTGATCGCAACGGTAGCAGATCACCGATCCCCTCGTCGCCAGCGGTGATGGGGCATGAACAGCGGGCGCCTTGCCCTTGTCGCGGGGGTCGCTGCTCCGGGCGTTCTTCCCAGATGAACCCGTACCGAAGTGTCTCCTAGCGGGGCTCCGCTCGCGGATCTTCCCCTCCTTCTTCTCCCGCTCCCCACGCTCCACCTTCTCCAGCTGCGAGATATACCGACTCAGCGTCGGGTACTCCTGAATCTCGATCTTCCTTCGCAGGTAAGGTCGGAGTCCAGCAATGAACTTCTGGATCTTCGACTCCTCGGTGGGCACCAGATGCCCTCCGTACATCAGTAGGCGGGTGAACTCCGCCTCGTACTC